CCGCGGATCCAGGTTTAAGTCTCTGGTAAGAACTCGAAAGCCGTAGACATTTCTACCAATTGAGGCTCCAACCGATTTAGGATTGGTAGCCTTTGACTGGGGTACCCGGGATTGTGACACCCGTAGCCCAGCAAACGCGGAATCGCCCTGGGTATATTGGTACGGTAATCTCCACTAAGGAAACTGTGTAAGCTCGTGTCTTACACAGGTTCCCATACGAAGCCTCTCTTTTAGTTCATGCTGATATGGAAGCCCCTAAGGGCCCCCACCCCTAAGCGTCACCACTTAAGCTCTGTCCCCACGGCAAGGAGACCAACATAATATGACAGAGGCAGAGAGGGACAGTTAAAACTTTCGGTGTGCTAGTTGCGCTCAGTTGAGACGTTAATGCACAAATTCGCACTCCTCGTACAATACGAAAATAGCTCAGCGGGAAGACCTCCGACTCTAACATCGTTGGTCGCGAGTTCAAATCGCGGTGGAGGCAGTTGTCACTTTCAAATTTAAAAAATTTTAACTGTTGAGTGCCGCTTAAAAATTGAAAAGAAAATTATAAAATTTAATATAAATAAAATAAAAGAATGAATAAAAATTGTATAAAATGCAACTAGTAAAGAACAGAAAAAACGAGAAAATATCAAAAAATCTAATGATCAGAATTTTTTTTAATAAAAAACTTGTCGCAGAGACTTATTGCCCCAGAACTGTCCTAAATGGAACCAGTTCAAAACTAATTTCAAAGTTCTGCAGAGGGGGGCTATTTCCACTTCGTAGGACATCGCCATGTAAAAAGATACAGGTAAGAGTATTGCGTTGGAATAGATCGAGAACCAGTACCGCCTCTTAAAGAGCTAGTTCTAAGCTAGCGCGATTTACTGCAGGGTATGTACGTCCCTGCTCGGGCGCCAAAAAATGTATAAGCAAAAGGCAAGGCTTAAGGTTAGACAAAATTTATTTGATTCTTACTCAATCAGCTATACAAAAGAAAAAAAATTGAATTTTCACATACTGCAAAGCAATAAAGTGAAAAGGCGAGAGAATTAAAAACAGCACTTTTCTAGTAGTTACTTATTTCGTTTTGCTTACGCCTCGTTCTTAAAACAGGGCTGCATTTACGGTATGGTGGGCTACAAAAACTTTAAATGCTACAATTGTGCAAGTATGTTGAATATGGAACACACGAATTTTTCTTTTGTTTGTTTAATGTTCATATATTTTTAAAAAATTTAGACTTAAATCTTTGTATAAAAATTAGCAAAATCAACTGTTTAATCAAGCATTTTAACTAGAATACATACAAAATTTTCTAACATATATACTTTGTATACTGGGAAATGCGTAACATGGTCAGCACACGGTTAAAAATTTCGGTTTTAATTTTAAACTTTTTGGACTACATATATGACCAAACTAAATTCAGTTTCAAATACAAACCTTCCAAGTTTATAAAAAAGAGAGCACATATGTTGGGTTTAGAATTTAAACAATTCGGTTTGAATGTTAAACCCAAACATTTTCATAATTAAGAATAAAAA